AATCTAATCAGGGGAACATTGTTCATTATAAAGATATTTAATGGGTTAAAATCAAACGTTTTATTGCACAACTGCTCTGCTGAAAGCGTATAAATGCATGTCGTTGCCAAGTTGTTGCTAACGAAAAAGTGTGAATTATAGGGTAATACGCCCGCGCGCGATGCAAAAGCGGGGAACACATAGGTTTGTCGCCTCAAAGGGATCTGTTGCCGAGTGATCTCCTTCTCAATAATACCTCCATGGTTCTAGCATGGTTCTAGTAAAGTAAATTCAGTTAGCGTTTACCAAGCGTAAGCTCATGTTATTGGTACTGAAGTTGATTTGCTAACCTGTTATTGCTAACCTGTTATATGTTTAATTGGCCAAGGGTAAGTTTATTAATTGTTGTAATGATAATAATATATGAAATTAGGTTTATTAATGATGTTAATGAGTGTACATTTACGAATGTGATTATACTGATTGTTATCATTTAACTATACAGTAATTAATGTTTATGAATAGGCATGTTACGGTACTCACTTTAGGTCGTGATTAGGCCTGTTATTGGTAAAATGTATTATTTGTAATTCGTTAGTTAATATACTGTAATATGTATTTGTTTTGGTTTCAGGTTTTGAATTGTGTCTGTGTGTAATAGTTGTTATAGCTGTAACTTTGTCCATTGTTACGTATCGATACACTATTACGTGTTTTGTTTGCGGATATATTTCGACGTGAATAAAGCATCATTTTTACAATACAAAAAGCCAAGAATAACTCATTTGTGTCTGACTGAGCCACGTTCTTCCACACGTCACGTTGATTAACGCATTCTAGTTACGTTAATTTTCGTTGTCAACGAAGTCTATTTTACGAACCAGTCGGAATGAAAATAGTACTCAAAGAAAATTCCTACTCAACGAAATGAACCAGTCGAATAAGCCCATTGTTCTTTTAGTTCTATCATGGAGGTATTTAAGGCTATGTTCTCACACGGCTGCTAACGGTTAGCGGGATCCGGATCCTGCTAACGGTTAGCGGGATCCGGATCCTGCTAACCGTTAGCTGCCGTGCGTCCATACGAGAAAATCCCGATCCGGATACCAAGAATATGCCTGGTTCTCACGAGAGCCCTAGTATCCGGATCGGGAACTAACCGTTAACGCTAACCGTTAGCACCTGTGTGAGAACGCCCGATCGGTTAGCGCTAACCGTTAGCGGTATCCGGATACGCTAACGGTAGCAAGCGCTATCGGTTAGCAAGTTGAGCGCGTTTCTATCATCAACCAATCACACGTACGCGTTTACAATTTTCAGTTTCTTATTGGCCAGTGATTCGATCATCATATTCTTGGTATCCGGATCGGAATTTTCTGGTATGGACGCACTGCAGCTAACGGTTAGCAGGATCCAGATCGTGCTAACCGTTAGCTGCCGTGTGAGAACATAGCCATATGATGATCGAATCACTAGCCAATAAGGAACTGAAATTGTAAACGCGTACGTGTCATTGGTTGATGATAGAAACGCGCTCACTTGCTAACCGATAGCGCTTGCTAACCGTTAGCGGTATCCGGATACCGCTAACGGTTAGTGCTAACCGATCGGGCGTTCTCACACATGTGCTAACGGTTAGCGCTAACGGTTAGCTCCCGATCCGGATACTAGGGCTCTCGTGAGAACCAGGCTATTGAGAAGGAGATCACTCGGCAACAGATCCTATTTGACGCGACAAACCCATGTGTTTGGATCGCGCGCGGGCGTATTACCCTATAATTCACATTTTTTCGTTAGCAACAACTTGGCAACGACATGCATTTATACGCTACCAGCAGAGCAGTTGTGCAATAAAGCGTTTGATTTTAACCCATTAAATATCTCTATAATGAACAATGTTCCCCTGATTAGATTTTTTCGGGCTTTTGGTATGTTATTATTTGTATATTTCAGGAACGGATTCCGTAAAATATTTATGTTAAAATTACTTCTGTGTTCATTATAATTTTGTCTAAAGATTGACTGGCTCGACTATAAAGCTAAGTCAGCGTAAAACTGAAAAATACTCAGATTTTGGATTAATTTTTCGAATAGTTAACCCTCGTTAACCCTAAAATGACTTAGTTTATTATAATCCTTAATCATTTATTAATTTAGATGTGTATAAGAGACAGCATGTAATGAAAATTGAAGTTGAAATATACTATACTTTTAAAGGTCATGTAAATGTTCCATTAAATTCAAAACTTTTTTTGGTGGAAAATATTAATATGTTTGATATTTTATGAGAGATAAATGTATCAGCTTTGCAGTGGAAACGATTGCGCAGCCATAGCAATTGACTGTATGTAGTGCGCATCGAGAAAAGAAGGTGCTCTCCATTTCGCTATGTTCAATTTTTTGATAAACTATACCTGCTGAAAATTTGATGGTGGGGAACACATGGGACTTCAAAGGCATCGCGCAAACGTTCTTCACGCGCTGCGGCAGCTTTGATCTTAGTTCATTTGCATAGCGCTGCGTGTGCGTAGCTTTTTCGAGTGATCTCCTTCTCAATAATACCTCCATGCTTCTATCATTAAGCCCGGTCCAGACTCAGATTTTATTTGACTAAAACATGTGACATGTGTAAATATGGTCATGATGACATCACATCATGACCATATATAGGCACATCATGACTATATATGGGCA